ACTGGGGCTTTGGGGGGAAAAAATAAAATAAATAAAATCTTTAAAAAAAAAATTTCAATTAGATAATTAAATTTAAAAATTACAATATGATATGTAAAAATGCATTTCTTTTCCACGTCACAATTAGGAGGTTTACATAGGTATGAAACCATTACACAAACGGCTAGTAAATGGAAAATATATTAACCACAAGCAAATCTACTGATGATATTAATAAGAAGCTTTTCTTTTCATCAGCTTTATGGAGGTTTTATTAATATTTTACATCAGCATCTATTTCAAATGGATATTTCGCTGCAACTTCTCTGTAAAATCTGCCAATTTTGAGTTTAGAAGATTCAAATGTCTCACTTACAACTGGTTTTTAAAAATGGTTAAGTGTTAGGTAAATAAGGAGCACAGAAGCTTCAGCTGCCTTTTGCGTATCTTTTACTGGACCGCTGCCTTTTTATATTGCTAACCTGTGAAAACCAGATTGTTAATGGTGGTTAAAAATGACCTTTGGGACCCTGGATATGTTTGTTCACTATTACTGCTAATGTTTTCCATCTGGTTAAAAAAAAAGGGCAGTCTAGCACTAGATTAAATAAATGAGATTTAGTTGACAAGGAGGTCCCAATTTTTGTAAATATTCCATCAGGTGAAATGCATTTTACTTTTCCAAAATTAATGAATGGGTTTGGAGACACCCCAAAATTTAAACGCTTACTTTCCTTCCCACTATATTCCCCCTTTTAAAAAAAGTTACAACAAGGCAGGAGTGGAGGCATAGAGATCTTAATTGTGTAGAGTTATAGGAGAGAAAATTATAACTCGGAAGGAACATCTTTCTTGGAGGGCTAGCCTAAAACATATCATAAGTCAAACTGTAAAAGAAAACAATCGGGTGGCTTAAAGTTGTAGAGAATGGATAATTAGGGCATAAAATGCATCCCATGGACTGATGTGACCAGAAGCTGCTGCTTGGGGTTGCATCCACACCAGTGCTCCACAAGCGCACTGGTGAGGCCAGTTCATCGTAAACTGCATTGTTCCCCGTGAATCCTGCTCGTCCTGGGAGGGGAGAGGCAGTGTCGTGCCACATCAGAGAAACCACACCTCTGCCAAGTGCAGCGGAGGCCAGAGAGCTTGGGGCCACAGGCTTTCCCCAGGGTCCTCTAGCACCTGGTGGTCCCACATCCCAGGTGAATGTTCCACCTCACCCTTGGTTTTGCCCTCACATAGCCATCAGAAACTGGAAGTACAAGAGGGATGGACGAGAGAATATGCCACACTGAAGCAGACATGAGCAGTAAATGGCAAATGAGGAGGAGACTGACTATCCGAAGGAAAAAAATACCCCAAACAGCCGATAGATTCATTAGCACTGCCTTTCAAGGCACAGGGGTAATAATTTTCTCTTAAATATCATGGCACACCTCTGCTCAACAACCTGCAATGGCTCCCCATGGTCTACATTGCAGAATCTACTCTAAATTCCTACCCTGGAGCCTCCAGGTTCTCCCATGAGCTTGTTCCATTTGGCTGAGCCAAGTTGTCTTTCTCTATCACCAAACACAAACCCTTTATTCTAGCTGAGTCTTTATTCCTCACATCTGCTGGCTCTGCTTTACGTTGTTTCTCTTGCCTAAGGTGTATCCACCCCCTCTCCTGGCCATTCACCCAAAATCAGAATGCCATCCAAGTCGCTACTCTCCCTAAAGCCTTTCCTGAATTCTCCAAATGCCCCTGATCCATTCCTTCCTGGGCTGAAGTTCTAAGTGCTTATCATCTTTACTCTGCCACTTTGTACCCGATATTCTGGTGTCTCTCCTACGCTAGACTGGTCTTCCTCAGCTAGAAAATCTGCTTTCTGAGGGCAGGGAGATCCTGCCCTACAGGTGACCCCATCACCTCTACTCTGGGAGGGGTACGAATATATTCCACAGATACTTGCTGTACTTCATTTAATTCAATCTGGTTTGTGACAGAAATACAAACTAATGCTATTGTAAATCCTCTGTTGTCATAAGGAGTTTTAAAGCGCTAACTCATTCCTACGAATGAAAAAGCACATTTTGATCATTTGTATATTCTAAGACTTACTCTGTATTTTCAGTTTATAGGAAAAGTTTGTGATGTTTCAAAATTTTTTTCTATCTGATATTTTGAAAATTTCTTTCAGAGACAAACAAAACCGTAGAATTTTAACCAAGTCACGAAAATATTAATGAATATATTTGCTGTGGCCTCCAACAGCAAAAATAACTTAGATTTTTAGAGCTCATTTAATTTTAAGAGCCAAATGAGTAGATCAGATGACCTGTTCTGTTGGTGGTCATGGGACAGGAGGAGAAGCTGATTAAATAGATATTATTTTTCTCAAGCTACACTTGAATTCCATAAATAAGATCATTTAAATATTGTACCCGGTATGTATATAGGGTACACTAAGTATATACAGGACAATATGAAATGTCTGACATTTGGATGAAGAGTAAAAAATTTGGCTTTCATCCATCTCTTCTATGGAAATACTTTCTTTCTCCTTCCTTTGCCTTTCATCCCCACTTGGTTTCCTATTCCTTGTCTTGGCTGGCTCCCTTTTAAATTCTCCCTGGAGCCAGCAA